AGTCTGCACTTAATCTGGGATCGTTCACTATGGAACTCGGCAGGCAACCGAGATTCCCGATAATGGTGCCACTTGTGGAGCACATCGGTCCCGCAGGGGGACCCTCCCGACCGCATCACGTAGGATTTTGCAGGACTTGTCACGGAGCGTTTATCGCTTCGACCGAGTGCATAAATCGCAGAGGTGGCCCAACTAAGGGTGTTTCCCGTTCGTTATAGCATAGGGGGTTCATGAGGTTAACACCTGAATTGGACCCGCATGCAAATCGCCACCCGAGGCGCTGATCTCTCGAACGCGATCCTCCGTCGGTTTTGGCGCGAACGCACTCTGCGCGTGCACGATGCTAATCAACATTACAACCCTTCTCTAACTCACGTTGTTGGGCATGGTCATCAATCACAACACCAGTTCATTAGATAACCAGACGTTTGTCCAAAACTACGCGCGCCCTCGAAGTGTGCGCTGACACACTCTTTGATCTGACCATATGGGCGCTTGTCATTCCCGACTACTAAGAGTCGGTTGTGGTCGTGCGAAAATGAGGCACTCTCTTAGATATCATCAAAGATGTGTCTCATGTGAGATGCAAAAACACACATAAATACCCTTGTAAGCTAGGCTACCAGCCGGGCCGCCCGGGTATTTTCCTGGGCGGCTGGACCGTGCAAGGACCAGGGAAGATCCCAACTAAAGAAAGTAAAAAATAAAAAAATCCAAAACATCCGAAAAAAAACTATGTTATGCAGAAAAATAAACGGAAAAACTTTTGCCTCAGGGTCACATCGAAATTCTTTACCAAATTTAAAATAATAATTTAAATTAAAAAATCATATTTATTTATTTATTTATTTATTTATTTTTGGCCCAGCCGGGCAAGTGGACCCAGGCCACTCTGGTAGCCTAGCTTGTAAGGGTATCCGTGCCGACAATGCCTACCTAAGGGTGGTGGCAGCCCCTCAGGTAGTGTTGAGTTTTACCTCACGGAGCTTTATCTTGTCGCAAGAAGCTGTGAGAGGTACAACACAGTCGAAGTGGTATCTCCTCTGACTCAATCGAATGCCTTACTCCCGCGTGACACAACCGTGAGGTCCGACAGGGTGTGGGACCGGCGTGCTCGGCAACGTGGCTATCTTACTGGAGCTAGCCACATATGTGACCAAGTATGTGACCAAGTTTTCAGGGCGGTGTTCAGTTATGTAGAGAGCGCCCAACGTTCTTCGTAAATACGAAATAGGCAATTTTTAACTGAAGGAGGGAGAGTGATGGAGTCGTTTTCGAATTGGACTGAGATAGCATGCTCGGCGAACCGCCCGAATCTCGTAAAATTCAATGTTGATAATGATTTGGACGAAATCCTGTCCGGTACGCTTGGAGTAAATTCCTCAGCCAAAATGTCCTTTGCATAACAGTCCTCGATGACCCCCTTGATCCTCTGCTTTTCAACCACGGACAAAGAATTTGGACAACAGGGGGCGGTAGAAAGCCATTCTTGCGGACCGTTTCCGCAGAAGCGACTATGGACAATGTATCTACCGGGTGGGCCCGGACGATGGCCGTTGCATATTAGAGGAGGTAGTTGGTGGAGCGTCCCTTCCTCGTATAGAAAGTGGAAGAGTCAGCTTCTGAGAGGGCCCGTCTGTAAGTTGCTGATAATAATTGCTTTTGGCCGCCAGGGAAAAAAAATCCCAAGTGGGATGAAAATGTGTTGTACTTAGGATTTCCCAATAAGGAAAATTATGTCCCTGCCTACGATGAGTACACAGCGAGGTTTGTCCTGTTTTGGCTACGGAAGGAGAAAAACTCTACATTTGGTGTCTGCTTCTTAACAGTGAGAATCAGTTGAATTCGTAAATAATCCAAGATCGGAGGTTAGTTTACCAGGAATGACAACACACAAAATCGAGGGGGAAACCTGATTTACTGCGATGAAATCCTCGTGAATTGAACACTGGTCCTCCAGAACCTGCAGAACACACCGCGACCCAAAAAGTAGAGCAATTCTTTATTTCAACCATGGGAAGGACAAACGTTTGCAGGAGGACGAACATGTTTACCTTGGGTGCATCTTGAGGTTATCGAAGCTGGCGCCACGAGAGTATCCTCTCCTTGCCTTTGAATGCCTTGAATCCCTTGAATCCCTTTATTATCTTGCTGATGAAGTTAAAAGTTCTTCGCCCAAGTACATACTTGACCCCTGTATCTCCCCCTTCCTATGCCTGGGCGAGCCCAGGAGAGCTATGGCCTCTCTGCCTAGGGCTATGAGAGTTCGTCCCTTGCCCTACCAGGCAATTACCCCGACCGCATCCAGAAAACCAGCAATGGCGTGGGGATGGAGAAAACCCTAATTCCCCGTGTGGAATTTTTTTTTATTTTTTTTTTTTGTTGGGGGGGGGGGGAGAGGGCCCAGTGCCCAAGGCTCAAATTATAAGATCGAAACACAACACAAACTCACGCCTCTTCCCATCAGGGCTGGAAGAGCCTTGGCCACTGCTCCCACAGAGACAGTTTCCCTAAACATCGAAAGTGCAGAATGCACAAGGGGCATTGATTGCTTCCCTTGATGGGAAGGATTTACCCCGCGCCATGTAATGATCGAGCCCTGCCCTACTATGGAACACCACCGAAGTTGGAGCATTCAAAACCAAAGGGTGGGGGGGAGTCGTATCAGGGGAACTCACGTGTCATGATAGGGCTAAGAAACTTCAAATGCGATCCTGGTCCCTATCGAACCCTATGTGATTATAGCGGTCGCAGAAAGTGTCTCTCCCTACCATTGCGCAACTTAGAAGGGGAAACCGTCGTTTCTTAATCAATGAACGACATATGAGAACTTATTGCAAAACATCAGGGTCAACGGCCTCTACAATCAGGTCGATCTCCATCATCATAGCGAGACAAACAAGGCGATCAGATGGAGGGGGCAATCCAGTCTCCTTAGTCCTCACCTCTACCCCACTCCCTCTCGCCTCCATCGCACATGCTTGACACACCGAACCCTGCGTTTCCTCATGCCTAGGCGCCCGACCGGCCCCTCCTCCCGCCCTTCTCCCATTCCAACCCCCCGAGCAAAGAGCAGTAAAGACAAGCCCACGACCACGTCGATGAAACTTAGGTTGCGACGCACGTTAAACCTGAGAGACAGAGGAGAAATCGGAGGTAAGAGAGAAGACAAAGAGAATATGTCAGGAGAGAGAACAGAGTCCACATCAAGCTGCCACTCACCTCCGTGAGGGGTGCAAGGTAGTCGTATCGTCATGGTTGTTGTTGTTGATGATGTTTTTGTTGTGATTATTGTCGGTGCAGCAGTCGCTGTTGCCGTTGTTGATGTTGTCGCTGTTGCTGTCGATAGTAATATCGTCGTTGATCTGTTGCCGTCGTTACTGTTGTTGTTGTTGTTGTTACTGTCGATGCTGTTGTTGTTGTTGTTGTTGTTGTTGTTGTTGTTGTTGTTGTTGTTGTTGTTGTTGTTGTTGTTGTTGTTGTTGTTGTTGATGATGTTGTTGACGCTGTTGTTAATGCTGTTGTTGTTGTTATTATCATGGAGATCCGCCCCAGTCCACTGATTACAGGGCGCTGCGGAGCCTCCCACACCTGTTTGCAGATACCATCTCCAGAGCCGCATACAAATCTTGGCCCTCCCCAAGAATGTCGTAGCAGCACCGCATCAGAGTCTCTACCTGTTGCCAGTCTATGAAATCATCCAATTGAGGAGTCGGCCCCTCCTCCAACTCCCAGATGACCTGCATCATGCTTTGCATCTCACCCTCAAACGACGGGGTCAGTGGGGCTGCCCCCCCATCAGCCTCCAACCGATCTCCCCACTTTGAACGCAGGGCATTCACCATCTCCCATAGACGACGCCGACCTGCCTGAATGGTGGAGACTGAGCGCTAAGATCAGCGCCGGGATTAGCGCAGAACTAGCTCTGGGATTAGCGCTACCGGCCCAGCGCCGGGATTAGCGCAGAACTAGCTCTGGGATTAGCGCTACCGGCCCTTCTCCGCCGCCGGCCCCCTCCTTTCCCCTTGGGCCTTCTGTAGTGCAGGTCTTAGAAAAATGGCAGAAAAACTTCTGCTGTGAAATCCCCCGTGTTTCAGCAAAGTTTACACTTGCTGCAAGTCTGCCTTCATCTTCAGCACAACCAACATTGAGGGGGAAGGCATGTCGGGAGGGGGGGGGTGCAGCCGCCCCTCTGAGGTGTAGCGCTGGTCCGAACTCGGGTTCGAATATAGGTCTGTGTTTTGCTTCGCATGGCTGACCTCGCCGGGGCCCGGATTTGGACACNTGGTCCGAACTCGGGTTCGAATATAGGTCTGTGTTTTGCTTCGCATGGCTGACCTCGCCGGGGCCCGGATTTGGACACAACTTGAAGCCTATATTTCGGCAATCCTCTCGCCTTTATGTTTTGCTCCGCAAGACCCTGCAACCTCCAAGTTGCAACCCCCCCCCCCCCCCCTCCTCTCCCGCCCCCCCATAATAAAAATAAAAAAAATAAAAAGCAAGTTGCACCCCACCTTTTGTCACTTCACCCTCTGGGCGGCGCTACATAGATTGAGAGGCGGTATATCAGTAGTGTCGGAACGAACCCGATGGTTTTGGCGATCAGCTTTTCGTGACGGGCGTCTGCTGGTTCCACCTCGGCACATTGAATTGAACATTGAAATTGACAGAGAACCTGGGGTGGGGTTGCCTCACATCGCGCGCCACTCCCCAGGGCTAGGTCCCACTTACACGAATTCACAGATATTGACCGTAGATAGCACAGATCAACGGCCAGAATCTCGTAATCCGTGCAAGTGGGACATTGCCCCCGGAGGAGTCAGGAAGCAGAGGCAGCGATGCAGGCCATCACAAGTTGCCGCCACGCAGCCGGTCGGTCCCAACTCGCTTGCATCAATTGTGCACGTGGAGCCACGGCGGCAATGCCATGTGACGTCGATCTATCGTCATCGCGGATAACGGCTAGGTCGGTGTTGAACTTGGCGCGCTCGTAGAGGTGGGTGCCTTACCGACGAAAATTGGCGGGGTGTGCTGTAGCGATGTGTACTCGGCGGGGGGGATTGAACCAATAACAGGCCTGATTGCATTTTTGAGGACGCCCGCCGGTTTCGCTGCCGTCGGGCAGCGGCATCGTGATCGACGGTCTATGGAGGTAGCTCGTAGGATGGGTGGGGGTGGTTTCTACCCTTCGCTTGCTCAATCACCATGGCCAGCCTCATCCCGGAATATCACGCGCAAGGAGCGAAGACAGATACAATCATAGACGCTGGTGAGTTGCTCATTTCTCCTGCTCTCCCCCCTTTCCCCCTTTCCCAACCCAATTCATCATCCGCTCTCCCCCCTTTCCCCCTTTCCCAACCCAATTCATCATCCGCTCTCCTCCCTTTCCCCCTTTCCCAACCCAATTCATCATCCACTCTGCGTTGTGGGAATAAGAAGAATTAGAATACCGCGCGCGCCCTCGGTTTCCTCTCGACAAACAAAAGAGTATGATCCTCAACAGTGCCGCAGCGCCTCTTCTAGCGTTTCATCTTCTAGTGTTTCATCTTTTCGTACCGCCTAATGCGCCGAGCATGTTCGAGTCCTTCGCAGAACAGAAGGCATGATGGTCATCATAGCTGTGTACTTAGGGCAACTTTCAGGCCAGATGCAGGGATAATGGCCATGCCTTTCCTTCCTTCGAGGGAAGACCGAAGTGCTCCCCACTCGACGGTATTCCTTCTGTAAGAATATGGCTGCCGCCCAGGTGTAGAGATGACGTGGCGCCGGAGATTCCCGATGGAAGAATTGCACGATACAAAAAAGAAAGAGGCAGCTTCCTGCCTAGGTACGCGATGAGAAGATGATGATGATGATGATGATGATGATGATGAGGAGGAGGAGGAGGGAGGCGGGGGGGGTAAGGGATGCGGCATGATTGGGGGTCATTGCAATGGAAACTGATGATTGCGATTGTGGAACTCACAGATTACGGTCGATAACGACACCGAAGGATTAAGAGGCTGGCTTCTTGATGCGGCTCTGAGAATTTACTTGGAGTGCATTGCATTTGACCGAAAATTCGTGCGCACGTGTGCAATGCTTGTCTGCAGTAACTTGTGATCTCTGCGAAGATTCGCGGGGCCGGTCGTTATCAGGCGACTGCCCCTTTTTGCGAACTTACCCCACCACTGT